TGTCCTTATATCAATATTTTGATTATTTGTATTGTCCCTCCTGCTGTCCCCTCCCTATGATCATAGTAATTATTCATAAAACCTCTGACAGAAATTCCTACTTCTGTGTAAATATCAAGCCAGAGTCCATTTGTCCAGGAGAAGCTACATGCATCTGCTTTTTGTTGAAAACTTTCGCTAGTACTATAAAATAATTACCAAATTAACCATGTGCCAAAATTGGTGTCATTTTTAAAAAATTTTTAATGCTTAATTTAGTGTTTTTAGGTGATAATCAAAATAAGCTATCTAGCTACCTGATTAGTATATAGATTATTAGGAGAAAAAGAAATTTAAAAAACAAACTTCCCAAGGAATACATTTTTTGACTAGAGTATTGGCTTGCAACAGTTGTCAAGGATCTAGATAAAATTTCACCCCAACTCACTGTGCAAGTGGCAGGAATGTTGATATTTTTGTGTCTTTGGCTTTAATATTTTCAGGCATACTCTAGTGGTAAGAAACTAGGGCCCTAGTATTTGTTGCTAACTGACTTTGTCAGTGATCCTAGATCAAGTCAGTGCCTTAAGTCCTGTTCATGATCCTAGAATCAGTCTTGAAGGAAAATCCTCCTTGTCCAATTGATATTTGTAAGTTGCTTTTTATAAAAATGCCAACTTGCTGAAGTAAAGAGTGAAGACAGATGAAAGAATTGAAAAGAAGTGGTAAGGGAAGGAATACTCAAAAGAGACATCTTTTTTTTTTTTTTAAACATTCTGTTGTGGAAAATGGGGAAAGGCTTCTATGATGAGTCCACTCCAGGTGTGTATGCCAATTTCTGAATGGAACCAGGAAAACGAGTATTTTGTAGTTAAGATTATGTGTCAATTCAGTGGCTCAGCCAGGTCCAGCTCTTGGCAACCACATGAGCTGCAGCACACCAGGCTTCTCTGTCCATCACCAACTCCCGGAGCCTACTCACACTCATGTCCATGAGATTATGTGTATGAACGGAGTAAGAAGGGCCAGTTGAGTTGATTCCACTGGTGGTACAGAGATTACCCTGGTGAGACCAAGTGTCTTCTTGGGTTGGATGGAGCACAGGATGGGAGAATGTCTAGCACTGCAGACAAACGTTCCCATAATCTGTGGAGATACAGGCTTCATGTCTTAGGGATGCTTGAGGTATTGAGTTTTTGTGATCCAGTGTGATCCAGACATTACTTTGCCAACAAAGGTCCATCCAGTCAAGGCTGTGGTTTTTCCAGTGGTCATGTATGGATGTGAGAGTTGGACTGTAAAGAAAGCTGAGCACCGAAGAATTGATGCTTTTGAACTGTGGTGTTGGAGAAGACTCTTGAGAGTCCCTTGGACTGCAAGGAGATCCAGCCAGTCCATCCTAAAGGAAATCAGTCCTGAATATTCATTAGAAGGACTGATGTTGAAGCTGAAACTCCAATATTTTGGTCACCTGATGCGAAGAGTTGACTCATTGGAAAAGACCCTGATACTGGGAAGGATTGAGGGAAGGAGGAGAAGGGGATGACAGAGGATGAGATGGTTGGATGGCATCACTGACTCAATGGACACGGGTTTGGGTGGACTCCGTCAGTTGGTGATGGACAGGGAGGCCTGGCATGCTGCAGTCCATGGGGTCGCAAAGAGTCAGACATGACTGAGTAACTGAACTGAGCTGTGATCCCTTAGACCTGTCCTCCTCAGGACTGATTGGCAGCCTTCAGCTAGCTGTGTGGCCTGCAGTTCTCAGCTCTGAGCAGGAAGAGGCAGATGACCACCTGCTAAGAAGTGGGACAGTTACCTTTTTAAAAAAATAAAGCAGGGCTTCTTGGGGACCTCCTACACTTTTATTGTATTCACAGAAAATCTGAAACATTGTGTTCTGTAATTTCGTAAGGGAAGATCTAATTGTAATTGGAAAATGCAAAAGGGCAGAATTAAGGTTAACTCTGGATTTCCTGCTTCTCATGCAATTAAATTCTCCCCCTTGCCATTGAGTTAATGTAATTTCCCCCCCACTTAATTGAGCATAAATTGCTGGACAAATATGGGATAAGTTGATATGGACTATAAGGAGATAATGCAGTAAAATTAGTAAGAAATTATAATTACACTACTTGCATTTTAAAGAAGCAAGAATTCTGTCATTAGGCCAATGAAATATCTGCAAAGTAATCTAATAATATATCAGATTATGAAAAATTAATTTCTGATTCAACTTTTTTACAAAATAGTTATTAATATAATAAAATCATGACTTTAAGAACCTCAATCAAAAATACTTCTTTGCTTTCTAAATATTGCTTTTGTTTCCTTTGATTTTTTTTTTCTCAATATACCCACTGCAGTATATACTATACTGCATTCTATTTGGGGTTGTCTCCTTCCATTTTTACTGGTAAATTTTTTTTCATTGAAGTATAGTTGATGTACAACATTGTGTAAGTTTCTTGTGTACTGCAGAGTGTTTCATACATTCTTTTTCAGACTATCTTCCATTATCATTTACTACAAGATATTGAATAGAGTTCCCTGCACTGTATCGTAGGACCTTGTTGTTTATTTTATATGTAGTGTTGTATAGTATAATAGTGTGTATCTGCTAATCCTAAACTCCTAATTTATTCCTCCCCGCTCCCCCTTTGGTAACCATAAATTTGTTTTCTATGTCTGTGAGTCTCTTTCAGTTTTGTAAATAAGTCCATTTGTATCATTTTTTAAGATTCCATATATAAGTGATATCATATGATATTTGTCTTTGTCTGACTTACTTCACTTAGTATGACAATCTCTAGGTTCATTCAATGTTGCTGAAAATGGCATTATTTCATTCTTTGTTTCTGGCTGAGTAATATTCTATTGTGTGCATATATGTGTGTGTCTGTGTCTGTGTATCTATCATATCTTTTTCATCCATTCATCTGTTGATGCTCACTTAGGTTGCTTCCATATCTTGATTACTGTCAGTAGTGCTACTATGAACATTAGGGTACTTAGACTGATACATGTTAATATTAGGTTTGTTGTATCTGTGTTATGTATTTTGGGTGAAGCAGCAATAGGCAAGTAGAGTCTTAGAAGGAGGACAGAGGTTGCAAGAAAGAAATCTTTCACCAGTGCTCTTAATAGGGAAATTCTGTCTCTGGAAGAAATGGACCTAACCACCCATAAACACATAGGAAGGGACAGCTGACTCCGCCAGTGTAGTGATGGCTATGCTTAATGCCATGATAGAAAAAGAACACCTTGTCATGCAAATTGTTTGCAGATTTCTAGTCCCGTGTCATTCCATCTGTTTGTAATACAGTGGTGTGCACTGCCACTTGCATCTCACACTCTGAGTTACATGGATCTCATCAGAGCCCTGTGCTGACCCTGGGTCTGCAGGCTAGGTTGTGGTAGGGGCGTCCATCTGAAGGGATGCTCATTTATTAATGGCAGTGTCATATTTTGTCATCTGGGCTTACACATGTGCCCTCTTTAAGGACCAGTTTAAAAGGTGATTTCCAATTTATTAAAAGAAAACCTTTAAGTTCAGGTCTTACTTATCACTCAATATTAAGTCCCTAGAAAGTTAAATATTGTTTTCTTGTTTGTTTCCTGTTCTGTATTTACCCAAATGTATCTTATCAAACCTTCAGGTGAGGTAGGGTTGACACTAGGCTTACCCATTTAGCAAATAAAAATGTACAACCCCCATGTAAATTAAAATTTCAGATTAAGAACAAAGAACTTATTCATGTAAGTATGCCCTCAGTTTACCTGGGTATCCTATGTTTTATCTCACAGACCTAGTTTAGACCAAGTCAAGATTCCAGAATAAGATGGACTGAAAAGATTGGTCATAATACACAAGATGCAAATCAAATATAAATGTGATTTTGAATATTCATGTGAATATTATTTAGGTCTTCTGATATTATGGGTATGTTTTAAAATAATCCTTAGCTTTTGGAGGTATTTACTGAAACATAGATTGGTGAAATTATGTTAACGTTTGGGATTTACTTCTAAATAATGCAGGAGGCAAGTGAGTGGATGGCACAGATTGGCTATGGGACACTGGGTATGTGAAAGTTAATTACACTTTGCTACTTTTGAATGTGTCTGAAATTTTCCATTTTCCATAGTAGAGGATAAAATGGGTATGTGTGTAAGTCATGCCCTTAGATTAAAGAAAAAAAAAATCTATTCTTGAAACATCTTAAATCAAACAATTGAGGATTTGCGCCGTGGCATCAGAAGCGGCTGCAGATGGAGGCAGGAGCCCGTGAGCTATTTTTGGGATTGTGACATCTTTGTTCCTCCACTAGGGTATTAATTGTCTTGATTTTTGTCTTTATTATCCATATAGCAATGCAGAAAAGCCGTTAGTTACTAACCTCTCAGAGTTGTGATTATTCAGTATGTAACATGATCTCTGGTGGCTCAGTGGTAAAGAACCTGCCTACCGGTGCAGGAGACCCAGGAGGCATGGGTTCAATCCCTGGGTTGGGAAGATTCCCTCTAGGAGGAAATGGCAACCCACTCCAGTATTCTTGCCTGGAGAATCCCATGGACAGAGGAGCCTGGTGGGCTACAGTCTGTGGGTGTGCAAAAGAGTCGGAGATGGCAGAGAAACTGAGCACAAACAAGCAGGATCTCTAGGGAAAGCTGGTGAAGAGGAGGACATGGTTAAGTCAGAGGGACAGTGCCGTGTGCTCGGGCTAGCCTTTTGAAATAGTTAAACATGGAATGAAATAAAGTGTTGGGTTAGGTCAGAATAGCAAACATTACTTTTTTCAATTTGTTTGTGGTTTTTACAAAAATAAATCTCTCTAACTGATTGGACTGAAGCCCTAGTAAATTAATAAATTGAGTATATAGCCTAATATTTCAGTGTCAGCCTACCTTCCCTAGCAGGTGAGTTGTCAGCAGCTGGGAACACTCAGTCTCTGGCATGACTCCAGGCAGGGTTATTTATTGATGGACATCTTTAATGATTTGCTTTTTTCTTCTTCCAGGATTTCCTTCAAGTGCTGTTGGAGAACATCCCAGAAGAAAAAAGGTGAGGACCAATTTAGGAATTAAGGGCCCAGTTTTATTTTGAATGTTAAAAATGACTCTGCCATTGTTTGGCAAATTGCAGCCTAGAAGTTTAATCTTCCTCTGTCAATAGAGGAGGGACCTAGTCCAGCCAGCAGGAGTCCTGGGATGATCAGTTGGACCTAGAAATATCAGGAGTGTGTATTCTAGGAGCCAGCACAAACAGCTGGAGACACTATGGCCTCAGCTGCCATGAAAAAGGATGGAGGAGAGACAAGTTCTAAAAGTTAGGGTGACTTGTTTTGGAATGTCTGAAATGTTTCAGATTTGCCATCCTTTTATTTATTTATTTTCATCCTTTTATTTTTAAAGTGAACATGCAAGGTTTGCTTCATGTAAAAATCACATCAGATATGTCCATTATTGCTAAGGTCAAGAACAACAGGTTACCTGTAAGAATTTTTCTTTTCTTCTATACTTGCCCTGAAATAACCTTTCAGGTCCTCTAATAGAATGGAGCAATTTCCTTAGGAACTAATTTAGAAAAAAGAAAAAGAAAGTTAATAGACATGGTTTATTACCTCCTTAGGCTGTTACCCAGGTCTGTTTCTGAGTAATGAACTTCTCAGGGCACAAATATAGCAATTTTCATGGAGGCAACAAGGTGCATTTTTCATTTTGGAGGTCTTCTTTCTTAACATCCCCTTCCTAATAAGGTTATGGAGTTCATTTGGATGGCCCAAGCCCTCTAGCTCTGGGGGCACCTAGATTTTATCATTGTGAATATTTTTTATGATCCCACAAAGTAACTTTTGTTGTGACTGTGGATGTTAAGAGCAGCATCTCCATTGAAAGGTGCCCACTGACCACCAACCTTCGCCCTTCGAGAAGATGCCTCACCCAGTTAGCATCACATTTTGACTAGCAGGCTTAAGCTTTTTAAAAAAATTTTCCTTAAGATTTGAGACTTCATTGCTACAATTAATGTATTTCAGCAAGTATACTAGAATATATTTTGAAACTCAAACATTGTCTTTCCCGCTCACTAATCTCAGAATCTAATCCAGCTTTTAAAGCAGACTGTTCATTCTTTTACCTGTGCAGCACGTTGTACCAATTTTATCCAGCTCTCCGAAGGCCCCACACCTACCCATGGAGCCTCTAATCTTTGACTCCATCACAAGCTGATCCTCAGACACATCTGTTAGGCACGTGAGCTGTGCTGAACAAGACAAAATTTTTTAGGTTAGACCAGCCAGTTAAAGTCCTAGGGCCAGCCTACGTCATACTGCCTTTCTCTTATTCTCTTGCTTCAATTAATTTTAACATTCTCTATTGAGTACCTCCTTCACCAGGTTTTAGGCTGGACATTAGGAAATAAAAAATTAAGTCTATGCTTAGCCCTCAGGAAGCTCCTAGTCAGCTGCTAAAGATGTACATGAAACAGGTCATGACTCAGGATAGGAAGTTCTTTGGTAAACTTCAGCACAGAGGTAGGGCTCAGCAGTCCTATGCTCAAGCCTTCAGGCCAGAGGTACTACTGAAGGCTTCAGGTAGGGGAGTGCCATCCGCAGGTTAGAAAGGTATCTGGGGAGTGGTCAGCGTGGGAGATAGATAGGATGGAGGGAACTAGCTATCAGGAGACCAACCAGAGATAGAAACAGCAGTTCACTCAAGATCCAGAGCTGGGACCATGGGTGGATGGTGGCAGCGGGATTTGAACAGATCTCGGGAATACCCCAGGAGTGCCACAGTTAAGTTGGTTGATTGGTTGAGCTGAAAGGAGGAGTCCTTGCATGATCTGACCTTTCTCTCTCTCTGCCACTCAGTTACATGCGCAGTATAGAAGTCCTGGCAATCCAGGCAGCAGGTGTTTGGTCTCAGGAATCAGTATGGGGCAAAGGGAGGGAAGGCTGAGTGTTTGAAGGTGGAAGAGGGGAGATGAGAAACCATGTTTTAGACATCTTCAGTGAGTGGTTTCTGTCCAAAAGCTGATGAGACCAAGAGGAGAAGCAGCTAGGAGTGCCTGTCCGGCGTGCCTTCCCCACCCGGTAGTCCAACAGTATCAACAGCTGCCCGCTCTTTCTTTGCTCATCAGTTATTATGTTTGTGTGCGCACATTCACGTATTTGTTTTAATTCAGTACTCTTCCTCCCCCTTGAAGCTAGGGAGTATTTGTTTGTAAATGTTACCTCAGCAATCTTCATTATCTACCCAAGCGCAGATGACTTGCTCTGATCAAGAAAAGAAGTAACCATGCATAAGGCATTGAGGCATACACTGTTTGTATCCCCAGGTAGGAAGGGAACTCAAAAACATAAATTACTGACATTTAAAAACCCATACAGACTGTAAGTTGCATTTCAGAACAAGATCATTTTCCGCTTCAGACCCTGAACGTGGAAGCCCCCAAAGCCTGATTCCAGGGAGAACTGCACTGCCCGTGTTCTCTGCGCCTTCACTCTGTTCCCGAAGCACGGGCCTGGTGCTTTCCTGTAGGCGCGCAGATAGGAGGTGATCTTTAGAATCTCAAGGGGCCGAAGACAGAGCCAAGAGTGATAAAGACCTTTCTCCTGATCAGCACTGAGTTGATAGGCACAAGCAGGAGATATGGCCAATAGTCAGCACCCTATCCTTGTCATGCCACCCCCAGAAGTCAACTGACCGAGCAATGTCGTACACACAGCATATAAATGCTCTTTTCATCCCACGCCTAGGTCTTGTTTCTGTGTACTATAACATTAAGAAGAGAAGAGCTACTGGTCACTTTCCTGACCTTAAACACAACTTATTTTTCTAACCAGCACCATGCAGGATGGCCAGCCCTTTCCCCCCGTTGTGGCATTAGTTACATGTGACTACATTCAGAGCTCACAGGGTCTGGAGACCCATTCCTAAAAGTCAGAGCTGCCTTTCAGGACACGGGTGTACAGCACGGGAGCCCTCCGGCCAGAGGCTGAGACAGCCGGCTGTTCCGGGTACCCGGGAGGCCTCAATAATGAGGCAGGAGCACCGCTCACTAGTACAGAGATGGAGGGCATGCGGGCGTGGGTCTGTGCACTTTTAGTTATCTGTATAAAATCAATTTTCATAGTGAGCAGACATGCAGAAGGGTAATTTCCTGTAAGTCCTAGGTCCCAGAGAAGTGGAAATGCTTCTGCTTGTCTGTTGTGATTATTTAAGCTCCATGATCTCAGAGGGGAAAAACTCACCATTGGCCTTGACTCTGAGTGTCTTGATTTGAAAAAGTCAGCTTTCAGCTTCACCACTGCTACATATCCAAGTCCAGAACTGAACTTCACCTGTACTATCAGCTCATGAATTATGATCAAAACAGGAAAAACTATGTACATTTAAAAAAAAAAAAACATAGAGCCCCTTTAATTCCTGAAAATTCAGCATTTTCAGACCATCTCCCATCATTTCCTTGGAGGTAAGGCTACTTCTGCTACTTCTATAATGTTTACATTTGTTTTTAGTGGATGGAGTTAATGCTTTGATCTTCCTCTCAGAATTTAGCATCTTATTACACATAAGAAATCTGTAAGTGGGCATCCGTGCAGTTTGATGTCTGCACTGAGACTGGGAGTCTAGAAACCTAGGTCTTTTCTCTAGCCCTTTCCTTTAGCCTGGGTGACTTTTGGAGAAGGCAATGGCAACCCACTCCAGTGTTCTTGCCTGGAAAATCCCATCGACGGAGGAGCCTGGTGGGCTGCCGTTTATGGAGTCGCACAGAGTCGGACACGACTGCAGCAACTTAGCAGCTGCAACAGGGCTGACTTTGAACAGTTTTCTTATGCTGCAGTTTCTCCATCTGTTAAAAAGCCACACGACAATTGACACCCACTTCACGAGGATATTATGAGGAATGAAGTGATAATGGTTATAAGGTGTTTTGAACCTTTCCAGGGGTAAGTGATCTGGAAACACAGGTTCTCTTCATTCACAGGAGAGTGTCTTTTGCTCCTGGATGCAGCTGAACAATGAACTCTCCTGTCCTCACACTCCTGCCCCTCCCAAGGGTCCCCCTATCTCTTCTGAACTGTAATTGGGGGCAGATAAACAGTGCAGCCACGGCAGCAGCCAGGTCACCTTCAGCAGGAGAGATAGGACCAAGAAGTCAGCATTGGCAGAAGCCAGCACAGGCCTTCTCCTCTTGCAGGCTTGTCTGCACCGTAAATCATGAACAATGTATTGTGAATTCCACACAGGAAGAAAAGTGAGAGCTTTGCAGCCAGACAACAGAAGGCTGAGTCCCAGCTCTGTGAGCACCGTCTAGGAGGCACTGAGCAAGACCTTCAGCCTCTTGGACCTTTATTTGCTCATCTCTAAGATGGGGATAATAGTATTAGTCTTGTACAGAACCCTATCCGAACCCTGTACCTGATAGGCATCCACTGATTGTTTGCCACTTATTTGCTCATCTCTAAGATGGGGATAATAGTGTTAGTCTTGTACAGAACCCTATCCGAACCCTATACCTGATAGGCACCCATTGATTGTTTGCCACATAGATAAGCTTTAGCCTGTTCTCAGTCTTCGTTGGTGAAGATGTGGTCCTCAGTCAGTAACACTCCAGGACTCAACTCCCAGCCCCTGCCCTCCACCATGCCATCCCCTGACCGTGCCACCCCTAAAGAATCGTCTTTCAGCTATAAGTCTCCAAAGGAAATTTATGTCCCTTTCCTCTTACTCACTCCTCCATGGGGATGCACAACAGCTGTTCACCATCTTTTGTAAAACCGCTTGCAAATTGCTCTGTAGTCACTCCCAGACTTCTCTTCTTCAGGTTATTTAATCCCAGTTCCCTTGACCTCCCTTGTGGATCTAATGTGCTTACCCCTTTGATCATCACTACTGCTGTCTTCTAAATACTTTCTAAATTCTTCATCTTAAGTTGTGGCAGGTTTAAGAATGCTCATTTTCCTAGACTCCACAACACAGTGCAGCTCAGTTCTGAGTGCTGCTGCCTTCCTGGGTATCTCCTGAAGGATGGGTAACTAGACCTTTTGTCCCTCCTTGGCTGGAAAGGAAGAAGATGAATGGGCTACTTAGAGAGAAGCACCAATGAAGGATAGACGGGGATAAAAATGGACCCTTGCTTCTAAACTGGGACAAACAGTTGAGAGCACCAGCAGGGTCTCCAGAGCTGCTCAAGCCCCAGGCAGGAGCTCTACACACCAGATGAACTGCCCCCTGGTGCCAGACCAGGTGGGAACTGTTTGCATTCATTCCAAACAAGAATGAACCTTCTTCTGAACACCATCCTTAATGGAAGTTACCAAATCTGTCTTACCTTCCAGCCTGGCACATGTCACTAGAAAGTAAAACAACCTCAAGTCCTTGGCGCTTCTCTAAGTGGCCCTTTGACACCACTTTCCTCCTCCTGGCATATCAATTATGCCAGGTGAGGGCATTTCCCGAGCCTCTTTCTACGGCCAAACAAATAAATCAAATCCAAGATATCATAATGACCTTAATATGCTGAAAGATGCCTCCTCTCTTCTGGTCATCCTACCCCCACTCCAAGTGCACTCATGTGTGCACATGCGTGCATGTGCATGTACACACACACACACACAGAGGCATCTGAGAGCACGTGTGCATGCACGCACATGAGCACACACTTCCACGCTCTCAACAGCCTACAGAGGAGACTTGGCCATGGGCACCGAGATGACGACAAAGAAACAGTGGGAAAGAGCCCAGGAATGGTGGCTCCTGGCCTTTCATACAAGGCACAGCCAGTAATTTCACTGACCTGAGAACTGGACAAACAGCCTGGGAGGGTGGTCACCTTCCCCTTATTCACTTCTGGCCTCTTCCCTGTCTGGTCATCCCACAGATGAGCATCATCTCGAAAATGAATCCAGACTAGTTTTTCTCCCCTCTGTGTATTTTCTCTTTGCTGAAAGCAACAGTTGCCCCCTTCAACCACCTTTGCTTTTGCCGGGTAGGGAAGACCTCCCCAGGTCCTATTACTTCATGGCAAATGGATGGGAAATGTGGAAACAGTGTCAGATTTCATTTTCTTGGGCTCCAAAATCAGTGAGGATGGTGACTACAGTTATGAAATTAAAAGACACTTGCTCCCTAGAATAGCTATGACAAACCTAGACATTGTATTAAGAAGCAGAGACATTACTTTGCCAACAAAGGTCCATCTAGTCAAGGCTATGTCTTTTCCAGTAGTCATGTACGGATGTGAGAGTTGACCATAAAGAAAGTTGAGTGCCTAAGAATTGATGCTTTCAAACTGTGGTGCTGGAGAAGACTCCTGAGAGTCCCTTAGACTGCAAGGAGATCAAACCAGTCAATCCTAAAGGAAATCAACCCTGAATATTCACTGGAAGGACTGATGCTGAAGTTGAAGCTCCAACTGCCACCTGATGAAAAGACCCTGATGCTGGGAAAGGTTAAGGTCAAGAGAAGAAGGGAGTGACAGAGGATGAGATGGTTGGATGACATCACTGACTCAGTGGACATGAGTTTGAGCAGACTGTGGGAGACAGTGAAGGACAGGGAAGCCTGGCATGCTGCAGTTCATGGGGTCACAAAGAGTCAAACACAATTTGGCAACTGAACAACAACAAGGGAAGACCAAGACACACTAGTGACTTGCTTCTCAGTGAAGAAGAAAAGGAAGGACAAGATCAGTCAACCCTGTCTTCCCTAAGCCACCTAGGCCCGCTCTTCCCTCCCTTCTCACTGCGTCCAGCCTGCAGCCGAACAGTACAGGCGTGAGGGGAGCTCTTGGCCTTCAGTATCTTAACTGATGCAGACGGCACTGTATCTTTCCACAACCTCTTTACAATTCCAAAGGGAGGGAGGAGGGAATATTTCATACATGTAATGGAGTATATAATACATAAAATTTAAAAAGATACAGACCTTAATGACTTGGGGATATCTTAGTGGGCAAGGTGATCATTAACTTAAAAAGGAATAGTTTTTATTGAGTCAACAATGAAATCTGTTTTCATTCATTCAAATAAAAAGTATCTATGGGGATACTTACACCACAACGGTTTTAAGTGCAGGGTTAAGAGAAGTGAGTAAAACAGACACCGACCCTGGTCTCAGAGAGCTTTGATCTAGTGAGGAGACATTTACAAGTCAAGGAACAAAACAAATTGCAGTCTCAGACTGTGACAGGATACTGTGCCACAGAAGACAGGGCCGTGTGGGTGTGACGTACGCGGCCTGAAAGAGGATTCCAGGAAGGCCCCTGTGGCTGGAGAAGACTGGGCGTGAGCAGTAATTATCTCGAAGCCAGGGAGGAATTGCTTAAACTTCAGTAAGACAGGAAGACATGACCTAAAGCTTGTGGACCCTAAACATATTGGCCACTGGGTACATTTAAAGGCGTATTTAAATCAGCAGGCATGAAACCAAAAGATTTCAGCTGACTTTGGAACAAACAGGCAATCGTAACATTCTGAATAAAGCGGAATGAAGACCTGCTTGAAAACAGGCAGCAGAAGCCACGTGTGCTCCACGCTCTGCGCCTCCCAGGGTTCTGATGATGAATTGTATCATTCTTGCTTGCTGTCACCCATCGTCACCGTGAAGTTGGCATTTCATTTTGACGCACTCAGTGCTGTGAGGTTCAGATTTCATGTTACTCCACCTCTCTTCAGGAAGCAGTCACGCCTGACATGTCCCATGAACATGCCCCCTCCTCCCTGCATAGGCACGCCCAGCGAAGACTTCCTCTCATGGCATCAAGGACCTCCTGTGGGGCCCCTTTGATTGCTTAGATCTCATCATGTGCACTCCTGTGGACTAGAGAGACACTCTACTGAATGTGACCGTGCCCCCTCCTCACTTTAACCTGAGATGGCACTGCACTTTCTCCAGATTTCTCTGGAAGAACAATGCTGTGATGTGCCCTGAGAGTTAGAACCATTCTGTGTTATTAATAATAAGTGCACTGTAACTTTTTAAAATGCATTTATTTATTTATTTTTGGCTGTGCTGGGTCTTCATTGCTGGGCTCAGGCTTTCTCTATACTTGCGATGAGGGGGACTACTCTTTGTGTTGGAGCACGGGCTTCAGTTGTTGCAGCCTCAGTAGTTGCGCTGCGCCGGCTTAGTGGCTCCGCAGCATGTGGAATCTTCCCAGACCAGGGATTGAACCCGTGTCCCCTGCTTCGGCAGATGGATTTCTACCCACTGTGCCGCCAGGGAAGTCCATTCCGTAACTTCTTAATCCTTTACTTTTTTGTTGTTTTATTTTTAAAGGCCTGAGCTATCTGTTGGAAACATCTTCCGAGACTGGCTGGAGAGTTCTGGAATTCCACAGGTGAGCTTCAGATAACTGCCTCACCAGGCTCTGTGGAGAACAGTAAGGCTTATCACTTAGTGTATCAATCATGACAGTGGTTTCTTTATATATATATATATATACATATATATATATATATATATCCTTATACAAGTAAGCGGGTTTCCCTGATAGCTCAGTTGGTAAAGAATCTGCCTGCAGTGTACGAGACCCCAGTTCAATTCCTGGGTCTGGAAGATACCCTGGAGGAGGGATAGGCTACCCATCCCAATATTCATGGACTTCCCTGGTGGCGCAGATGGTAAAGAATCTGCCTGCAATGCAAGAGACCTGGGTTTGATCCCTGGGTTGGGAAGAACCCCTGGAGGAGGGCCTGGCAACCCACTCCTGTGTTCTTGCCTGGAGAATCCCCATGGACTGAGGAGCCGGGTGGGCTCCAGTCCCTGGGGTCGCAAAGAGTCTGACCTGACTGGGGGCCTAAACACACATAACAGTAACCAGCTCGCTGAGCTGCAGTGTCCCTGAGTCAGGAAGATGATGTCTCCCACGCTATTTGGCCGGCCGTGGTAGAGTGTGCCTCGGGCCTCTGCCCCTAGTGACTGTGGTGTGAGAGGTGGACATTCTGGTTGACTCTGAGCTGAGTGTTCAGTGAGGTCTTCCAAAGCGTGATGCACACTTTGGGCAGCCTCACCAGGCAGCAGTCCAGCACTGCCGGCGTCCCGAGCTCTGCTCTGTGGATGCGGCCCGACGAGTGAACTGGCCTGCCTGTCACTCTCCTCTGACCTGGCATGCCCATAGCTTCCCCCTCATTGGCCCATGCAGCTGCCCTCAGCTTTCTCCTCTGCTTCTGCATCTCTGCCTCCGGCTGCTCTTCTCATCTGAAGGAGCAGTTCAGACTCATTTCTCTGTCTGGGGGACCGGGACCTCCCTCTCCTTCAGGTTTATTTCTCTGCTCCCCCTTTCAGCCCATGGTGATTCTGAGGGAGATATTCCCTGGCGGCCCTCACTGCGTGGATATCACCTGGCCTGAAGCCTCCTCCCCCCTGCCTTCTCCCCGCTGCCCTCTCCCCGGGTCTTGTGCTTCCAAGAGCCTCGAGGGCCGCCCCGAGCTAGAGCCTGGGCCCTGCCTGGAAGCGGCTGGTCAGAGGACCCGGTGGGCCTGGAACTCTTCCAACCCCCAGAGCAGCTGCAGACCCGTCTCGGTGGGCCCGAGTGTCTGGGAGTGGACCCCACGGTGGGGAGAAAGTCTGCCCGGGGCGCAGGCAAGCGGCCTGTTAGCCTACTCGTTTCTGGTTTCATGACTGGTTATATGAGCTTCCCCTTGGGAGTGTCTGAATGTCAATGAATGTCTGTGAACCATGAAATTAAGGAACAGGAGGGGCTGTTCTCCATTACCTTTTCATCCCTCTCCTCTCGTCTTTGTCCTGTTCTGCCACACATGGGGCAACGTCAGCCACCAGCCACCAGGAGCTCATTCCCGAGGAAGGACGCACAGCCTTCGGTTCAGGAATGCGTGTCACCTGTTAAAACTTATTTGTTTGGCCCAGTCCTTCTGGGAGCAAAAAAGAATAAAATGCTGTATCCTAAACACGAAGAACAAAGTGAGTCGTTCGGGAGCACCTGGTCCTGGGAGGCTGTGCTTTCAACTTGTGTATGTTACGTGTAATGAGTTCCTGTGATTTCTAAGACGGCGGCTTCCAAATCAGGTCACTAGCTGAGTACAAAAATCCAGGGGAACAAAGTTAAGGTTTGCCTGATCTCAAATAGCCACACCCTGCTCTTGTTGTTTTCTTCAGGGGTGAGGGGTGGGTATCCCCTGAAGCCTGCTGCCTGGAGTTCTCAGGCCAGGCTGTTGCAAGGCTCCCAGACATTCTTAGGGGGGCCTGGAAGCTGGGAAAAGTTGGGAGCTCAAAGAGCAAAATCCTGCATTTCCTGGCCCAGAACAAGGCAGCTGTGTTCAGCAGTTAGCCCCGAGGGAAGAGAAAAGAAAGAGTCCTTAATCGAGTGCCCAGAAGCAGGCGCACCCGACTAGCGCCATCACACTGGGGCTGACCTGCTCGCTCCCAGGAGGTTCTGTAATTTCCCTTGAAGAAGAAGAGGCTTTTGCCACCAGCTTTTGCTTTTCATTAAAAGGGGGAGGGGTCCATGGCAGGGAAAGATTTGCCTCTGAGTGGTACATTTTTTTCCAAAGGTCTAGTTGCATTAGTGACAGCTTATAGCATAGACAAGAATCTCCGCTGTAAACTGACGAAACCTGCTGTCAAAACACAGCCAGGTGCAATGAGGCCAACCCGGCTATAAATTGTCTTTAAGACCCAACTGGTATTTCCTTGGGTGCTTAACTGTTCAGTAAAAACAACAGCGTCAGACAGAAAAGACCCTGATTTAGTGCACATCTTTACATTGGTGGATGATCAGACGGCATCTTTTCATCTCTTCACCCATTTCCGGCCATTATTTATGTGGCTAATGGTGATTTACCTGCTCACAGCCATTTCCGCGCTCCTTGAAAGTTCCCTCTCGTTTCCACTTCAGGGAGAGAGACTCTGCGCCTTCTTGTTGCAGGAGCCTCACAGTGAATGGGACACCTTGTTCTTTGTCTCTATCATTATAATATAAAGTTACTGGTGTGTTTGGCCTGGAATGACAGCCAGAGCATTGAAATCATTCCAGTGCTCTTTGTTCTCATTAAAAATTTCTGTCCACCAGCAGTTGAAGTCATTCATGACAAAAGAGTCACATTCTACTGGTGAAGTTTTCATTCCACAGGTTACAGAGGCTTTTTGTCTTCTCTAAGGAATGTTTGCCTTGGGGTTGGCCTCCATTCTCCTTTTTGGCCACATTGAATGGAAATCATTTTTTTTTTAATGTGTGGAAATAGCTTCAGCAGCTATAAAAGTAATCATGAGCCCCCCAAAAGTAAAGGAAATTGGATACAAATCTGTTTAAAGAAACACCCAACCCTAACCTATGGCTTTGCTAACAGACTTAAAATTGATTTTACCATTGATATTACAGATTATTTCCTTTATGATATTTTTCTGACTATAAAAGTATTACATACTGAAATATAAAAAAGTTTGTAATAAGAAAATTAAAATGGCCCAGAGATAATTCTGTAAGTCATTTATTGATTTCAATTATTTTTTATTGCACCATGTGGTGTGTGGGATCTTAGTTCCCTGACCAGGGACTGAACCCCCTACAGTTGAAATGTAGCATCTTAACTACTGGCCCACCAGGGAAGTCCCCGGAGTTAATTTTTTGACAGAAAACCCGTTTAGTCATTTATCTGGTCTCCCTTTTCAAAAATAAAAATAATATGTTCTCTGAAGCAAGTTCAAGCAAAACCAAAGTAAAAAAACATAAAGCCCTTGGCCCTTTCAATCTTACTCTGCAGAGAGAATATATGCCTGGTATGTGTCCTTCTATACATTTTCTGTGCTATACGTTATGTAAGTGCATATGCTTTCTTAAAAAATTGGACTTTTATTAGCTAAACTTAAAAGTTTTCATTTAAAAGTACATCTTAAGCAATTTCCCACATCCCTTGAAATAATTCAACAGCAGTAATTTTTAACAGCTGCATAAATTTCTAAAGAGTGGTACCATAATTTAATTTATCAGACACTCCCAACTGTTGGAATAGTATACAGTACTTCTAAGAAAGTTGCCCATTCTGCTAATTTGACAATTCTATAAATAGATTTTTATTTCTTTTCATGTCTGCCCAAAGGTCTCCTCCCACCCACCCGAACATATGTACATATTCCAATCTTTTTTAAAGTATTTATATCAAATGTAATAGAAATAACTTTTCTCCCTCCAGCCCTTCTTCTGTACTTCTTTATTTTAGTTGTCATAGAACTCTCTGACCCCTCCTTTTCTTTGATTTCCTGATATCTTTATATATATACTTATTAAATTTATAATTTTATTTCCTTTCCTAGCATCTTCCTCACTTTTTCATTATATTTTGCTTGGACTAGTGCAGTAACTAATTGTTCTTTTAGCCTCCAACTTGTCCCCCTTTCCATCCACCATCCACATCAATGCTATGTGAATCTTCCCCCAAACACAGTTTACATCTCTCCTCACGAGAAACTTTTTCCCCATTTAGAAAAAACTCTTTGGCCTGCCATTTGAAGCTGTAAACTGCCCCAAGCTACCATTTTAAACTTTATTTTCTACCACTCCTAGGCATATACTGGATCATAATTATTAGTCTCCAAATAGTTATATGCTGAATTTTAATGTAATCTAAATTTAAATTGAAAATCTAATAATACAGTCATGGTTTGGACCAATTTAGGTTTGTAAATGAATCCACTTGGACCAGTTTAGGTTTGTAAATGAATCCACTTTTTCAACTGTCAATTCTATGAACTCTACTTCAGACCAAGCATTTCTGATTAAAACTTAGCATCCAATTGAGATAGACTGTGAAAACACATCAGATGTAGAAGACCTAGTACAAAAAAGTGAAGGTAAAATATCTCATTAAAGGTTTTAAATACTTTTTAGGTATTGAAATAATTGTATTTTGGATACTTTGTAAAATAAAATATATTATTAAAATTAATTTTAGCTGCTACAACTTACTTTTTATTTGTGGCAAATAGAACATTTTAAAATATATATATTTTTTTGTTTATTTATGGCTGCATTGGGTCTTAGTTGCAGTGCATAGGCTTCTCTCTAGTTTTGGGCTTTTGAGCTCAGTTGCCCAGATGCATGTGGGATCTTAGTTTCCCAACCAGTAATCGAACCCATGTCCCCTGCATTGAAAGGCAGATTCTTAACCACTGACCATCAGAGAAATCCCCAACAATGAGAACATTTTAAATGACAAATGTGGCTTGCACATATTCATACCGAATAGTGATGCTTTAAAGCTGTTAACTGAATTAAAATCTGAGTGCATAATACCTTAAAATCCACCACTGATGTACTTGAAATCATCTGTAGTTTTGTCAGATGTATGGCTAAAGCTGGAGCTAGTCAGTCCATAGACGCCCTTCAGTCTGGTCTGAAACCACGAATGATTATCATCCACTGCTGAGTGTTGCTTTCACCGCAGTTGTTCATAAGGGTATGAACGAATTACCATCCTCTCTTCAGTGCTTAATTTCAACTCCCGGGTGACCCATTTTCCAAGGCACCAACAAGTAACACAATAACGCCAGTGAACCCCACAGCCCTTCTATGGCTCAGGCTATTCTTTAGGGAAAAGTGCTTAGCAGCCTTAAATGGCCAAGTCACAGGCAGCAGTGGCAATGATGGGGATAGAGAAGATGGCTAATGGCCAATCATATAGTCGCCTAGAAACAGAAACAGGCAGGAATCAAGCTCCCAGGATTTAGAACATCAGCTTGTTGTGTCATCTTGGAAAATGCCTCTCCTTTCCAAACAAACACCTGCAAGTTGCCAGAGGCCACACAAGCAAATGATGGAAAACATAAGTCTTATAGGAGAAAATCCTGCATTCACAAAATTGGGGAAACTTGATAAGACATGATGCAAGAGACTCCATGTCATTGGAGCCATGATGTGCTTTTATTTATTATTATTATTTTTTCATGATGTGCTTTTAACACAGAGCAAGCCAGGTGGTTTATTAGGGGAATAACATGTAGGCTTCTTTTAGCACAGATTATGTACTATTATCAACATAATTTAAAGGCCTATTATGATACTTAATCTTAGTGGTATCTATAAAAAATTCTACATGTAATGGTCATTCACAAAAACCAAGATTGGTTATTTTGCAAATTCCAGAGAAATTATATTTTTCAAATTATATGTGCTTTGCATGTGCAAATGTTGGTTCTTTTGTGCAACCATGTGCACATTATGGTTTCTTTATATCAATAATAGCAGTTGCCATAATGTGGTGTGTGTTTTGAGCTCCTAGTAATTTTGCTGTCATTCTTGTCCAGCGGTTAGATTCACAATTTCTAAGTGACTAAATGCAGATGGTGATTGCAGCCATGAAATTAAAAGACGCTTACTCCTTGGAAGGAAAGTTATGACCAACCTAGACAGCATATTAAAAAGCAGAGACATTACTTTGTCAACAAAGACCTGTCTAGTCAAGGCTATGGTTTTTCCAGTAGTCATGTATGGATGTGAGAGTTGTAGTATAAAGAAAGCTGAGTGCCGAAGAATTGATGCTTTTGAACTGTGGTGTTGGAAACTCTTGAGAGTCCCTTGGACTGCAAGGAGATCCAGCCAGTCCATCCTAAAGGAAATCAGTCCTGGGTGTCCATTGGAAGGACTGATGTTGAAGCTGAAACTCCAATATTTTGGCCACCTGATACGAAGAGCTGACTCATTTGAAGAGACCCTGATGTTGGGAAAGATTGAAGGCAGGAGAAGTGGACGACAGGGAATGAGATGGTTGGATGGCATCACCGACTCAATGGACGTGAGTTTGGGTAAACTCCGGGAGTTGGTGACAGACAGGGAGACCTGGTGTGCTGCGGTTCCTGGGGTCGCAAAGAGTCGGACACTACTGAGGGACTGAACTGAACTGAAATGTTTTGTCAGGGATCCTTGGAGATACTTCCTCTGGCCTCACCGGGGCAAGGCCTGCATTGTTGATGTGTCACCACTGTTTCACTTACTGTTCATCAAAGCTATGGCCCTTCTTCCCACAACTCCTGTATGATGCTTGGCAGTCACAGGAGATGAGAGATTTTATTAAAATGTGTCCACTTTTAGCTTATTTTCTTTATTTCTGGCATCTGTGGCATCATGCTCATATTAATTAGTTCAGGCTGCCATAACAAAATACCAGATGAGGTGGCTTAAGCAGCAGACATTTGGAGGCTGAAAGTCCAAGATCAAGGTGTGGGCAAGTTTGGTTTCTCCCAAGGCCTTTCTCCTTGGTTTGCCCACGGCCACCTTCTTGCTATGTCCTCAGTGGTCTTTCTTCTGTGTGTGTAGAGATCTCTGTCTTAATCTCCTGTTCTTATAAGGACATCAGTCAGATTGGATGAGGTCCCACCCATGCAATTTCATTTTACCTTAATCACCTCTTTTTGGCTCTATCTCCAACATAGTCACATTCTGTGGAACTGGGGGCTAGGACATCAATATGTGAGTTGGGAGGGGAGGTACAAATTTAGCCTATAATATTGCTGTTTCCCAATATTTCTCTGATTAGTTCCACATTTCTTGTGAATCCCTTCAAAGTGGCTGATAAAAATCACTCAAGTCAAACTTAACGTATTTTATTCCGTTATAAGTGAATATGCTTTGGGCATAGTTATTTGGTCCCAAATGATTTTAGTATCCCGTCCACAAAACTTTCAAGTCTCTGATGAAACAAGAGAGTAGGAAGGAAAGATCTGTCCTCCCAGAGAGAAGTAGGAAACTAAAGGTCTGTCCCAGGCATTGTGTATTACTGCAGGCATCTGATTTGACACTGTCCAAATGACTCATTTGAAAAGACCCTGATGCTGGGAAAGATTGAAGGCGGGAGGAGAAGGAGACAACAGAGGATAAGATGGTTGGATGGCATCGTGAACTCAATGGACATGAGTTTCAGTAAGCTCTGGGAGTTGGTGATGGACAGGGAAGCCTGGCATGCTGCAATCCATGGGGTCGCAAAGAGTCGGACACAGCTGAGCAACTGAACTGAACTGAAAATGTATTGACCTCTTCACGGCGTAGGGCACTGGGAAGAAACAGGAGACATTTTCCTTTGGTGCCCCAAATGAAAGCTCCCCAGCCTTCCTTCTTTTCACTCCCTTTCAAAACCTGATTTCCAGAAAGAATTTAAATCTCATTCACAGTAATCTAAGACTAGACACCGAGTGAATAATAGGGATTAAAAGTGTTTCCTTTCCCTTGAAAATTTCCTTTGTAACTGTATCAGACCTTAGGCTTTGACAGAGCTGTCAAGCATCCCAGACCAGATGTGTGTGATTTGCCAGAAGAAGCTTCTTCCAGGATCTGAAATCACCCCTCCAGCTAAGTGCCTTCCTTCCCTCCCCTTCCCCTCTTTCTAGGAATATAGTCTGTATATCTGTCCTTCACAAGGGACTGTGCATGACTCAAAGATGAGAGAAACACAGGCTTTACCCTCAGAATGCTTAATAATTCAGTAGGAAAAATAGATACACAAATAACTGATCTATAGGAAACAGCAATAAGTGGTGTAAAACTAGCTCACTTTTAGTTAGTTAGTCTTTGAAATTTATTGATTTAGGCAGTTTTGGCTATGCTGGGTCTTCTTTGCTGTACATGGACTTTCTCTAGTTGCAGCGAGAGGGGACTACCCTTCATTGTGGTATTTGGGCCTCTTATTGCCGTGGCTTCTCTTCTTACAGAACACAGGCTCTAGCGGCATGGGCTCAGTGGTTGAAGCTTGCAGGATCTAGAGCTCCGGCTCAGTAGTTGTGGCCCACGGCTTAGCTGCTCTGCACGCTGTGGAATCTTCCTGGACCGGGGATCTGACCAATGTCCCCTGCATTGGCAGGTGGATTCTTATCCACTGCAGCACCAGTGAGTGAGTGATAGTTGCTCAGTCATGTCCGATTCTTTGGTCTATAGCCTGCCAGGCTCCTCTGTGCACAGAATTCTCCAGGCAAGAATACTGGAGTGAGTTGTCATTTCCTTTTCCAGGGGATCTTCCTGACCCAGGGATCGAGCACAGGTCTCCAGCATTGCAGACAAATCCTTTACCATCTGAGTCACTGGAGAAGCCTACTATTAAGAGACATTTCTAAGTATAAACACAGGTCAACTTAAAAAGCATCAGCAGATATATACTTCGGCACCAGGGGAGTCCCTACCTCACTTTTAGAGTTGGGAAGAAAGAGGTCATTTTACATTTGTGGAAGCAGAAAGGACTGAGTTACCATTTGAAGTCAACCTTGAAGGACAGGAAAGGGAGAAGTCATTTTAGGCAAGGGGTGTGACATGTTCAATGTCTGGTGGTGAAAACTTAGTCTGCATGTATGAGCAGCATGAGGCAGAGTCAGATCTCAGTGACGGGGCGGGGGCAGTGTGGAGTGACTAGCTTTTCACAGCAGAGTGAGGCTCAGTGGGTAATGCCCCAGGACAAGGGGAATGGAGGCAACTTCCCCAGTGTGAGGGGTGGAGGAAAGGCCTCCTGTCCCCCCGACCCCCGCCTCAGGCCAGCCTCACTCTCAGCTCCCTTGCCCTGGCCTCAGCCTCTGCCACACTCTAATCAAGGCCATAGGCATGTCCAGCTCTTTGCAACCCTCTGGACTATAGCCCACCAGGCTCCTCTGTCCATAGGCTTCTCCAGGCAAGAATACTGGAGGGGGTTGCCACCATTCCACCCCCCAAAATAGATAGGTGAATGCAATTTATGATGATAAAATATATCTGGTGAATGCATATTGACCATTTGAAGCAGTGATCTTTCCTGCTCCGTTTTCCTTGTTAGGAAGGAGTTTATTGTTGCCTGCTTTGCTTGGAGAACAGGATCTGAGAAGCAGATTGATTGTAAGGCGGGATACAGCTAGACTGCACAGGGTTGAATGTGAGAAGGAAAAGTTTACCCAAGATTCACCAGAGGGTTGTAGACAATGCTAGTGACTGAGTGGCAGTAAGCTATCTGGGCCGGTGGGCCAGCAGCCTTGCTAGAAAGAAAATTCCCTGGATGAAAAGCCAAGCCCCTCCCCTCCGCGCAGGTACTAGGGACTCTCNGCTAGTGTGTGAGATGAGTGCAATTGTGCAGTAGTTTGAGCATTCTTTGGCTCAAACTTTGGCTTTCTTTGGGATTGGAATGAGTACATCATGAGAAATAGTGGACTGAATGAAGCACAAGCTGGAATCAAGATTGCCGGGAGAAATATCAATAACCTCAGATACGCAGATGACACCACCCTTATGGCAGAAAGCAAAGAACTAAAGAGCCCCTTGATGAAAGTGAAAGAGGAGAGTGAAAAAGTTGGCTTAAAATTCAACATTCAGAAAACCAAGGTCATGGCATCTGGTCCCATTCCTTCATGGCAAATAGGTGGAGAAACAGTAACAGACTTTATTTTTTGGGGCTTCAAAACCACTGCAGATGGTAATTGCAGCCATGAAATTAAAAGACACTTATTCCTTGGAAGGAAAGTTATGACCAACCTAGCATCATATTAAAAAGCAAAGATATTACTTTGCAACAAAGGTCCATCTAGTCAAAGTTATGGTTTTTCCAGTAGTCATGTATGGATGTGTGAGTTGATCTATAAAGAAAGCTGAGCGCCGAAGAATTGATGCTTTTGAACTGTGGTGTTGGAGAGGACTCTTGAGAGTCCCTTGGACAGCAAGGAGATCCAATCAGTCCACCTTAAGGAAATCAGTCCGGAATATTCATTGGAAGGACTGATGCTGAAGCTGAAACACCAATACATTGGCCACCAGATGTGAAGAACTGACTCATTGGAAAAGACCCTGATGCTGGGTAAGATTGAAGGCGGGAGGAGAAGGGGACGACGGAGGATGAGATGGTTGGCATCACCAACTCAATGGGCATGAGTTTAAGTAAACTCCAGAAGTTGGTGATGGACAGGGAGTCCTGGCATGCTGCAGTCAATGGGCTCACAAAGAGTTGGACATGACTGAGCAACTGAACTCAACTGGTCTGAACTGGGGAACTAGAGAGGTTGACTTCTGTACTTGCCAATTTCAGCCAGGATGCCAAGTCCTTTAGAAGACAACATGCTTGGAGACTAGAGACTCGGCTGTACTGCCCCCATCCCCCACCCCCTCTTAGTCACAAGTTGTCCAGCTTATTGTGTAGGAGAGTCCACGTGATTGTCCTCAAGGTGCAGTTTCCAGTGGGTCATGAACATACAGCCATTACCTGTCCTTCATGTTCATACATATTGCGCACCCATAGAGAGATTCACTTAAGTAAGGACATTGTGGCTCTTGTAAAGAGTGATTCTGTTTAACAGAATTTCTTTGAGCAGTGCTTTATCTGTTTCATATAGAGAGATCTTAAGGAAGGAACGGGTAAACTCAAAGAATTATGACAAAGATACCAGCTTTGGATTAC